CAGTGGACCTGTGCAGAGGCCAGGCTGAGGAAGAAAAGGCTCTGTAGATTGTCTGTGCCCCCCCTCCACCAAACAACCTTCACCCTAGGCTGGAAGGCCTCTGCATTCAGTCTCGCTGGGTCCCCTGCAAGGGGCCAAGACCACCTCCGTTTTTTCCTTGGCATAGTGGGAGCCAAACCAGCTCGTCCCCAAGAATCCCTCATGGTCTCCTTCTGTTGCTCACATGGGGGCTGCTTCCACCTAGCGTAGGGCAGAATGCACCCAGAGGAGACCCCCACCTTGGCCAGCCCACCAAAGCCTGGGGCTCTGGACCCCCTTGCAGGGCAGTTTCGGGGTCTTGGGGAGGAGCCCTCATGTAAGCTAAGGGCTTTTATTCTCTCAGCTACTCTTCTCTGAGCAGGAACCAGAGGGTGAACAGCTGGAAACTGACAGAGCCCGGAGACCGAGCAGCTGAAGCCGGCGGCCAAGTTCAAGGAGCGCCAAGGGCGATGTGGAGGAGAGCAGCGGGGACCTGGCCGTCGGGGCATCTGGCTCTTTGGCTGCCAGTTCTCACCTCCCAGCACGCCGTCTGCAGCCGGGCTCCCCGGGCCTGAGGGCCTGGGCAGGGCAGCCGGGCGGCTCTGAGCCTGCACCTCCAGGCACACAGACCTCACAGTGCGGACCTCCTCTCCAGATACCCGGCCTCATCAAGCTGGCCTTCGGCCCCCGTCCTGGCTGAGCAAAGTGCCCCTCCAGCCTCGAAGTACATGGACTCCAGGAGTGTCGGGTGTGCCTGTGTGGTTTACCACTCGTGGCATCTCAGGAGCCCTGGGTCTGGGGACCCTCTTTGCTCGCCCACAGCGGGGCTTCCTACCGCCCTGCAGGACCACCTGCGCTCACTCTCGCCCAAACCCTGCTCTTCCCCAGAGGAGCCCCTGTGGTCTTGGGTCTCCAGCCGCACCTCCCTGCTTGCTGAAAAGGCTGGGAGGGGGCTGAGCTCTGGGCTGAAGAGGGACTCTAAAATGTGACAGAAGTTGCTGGTAAAAGCCCCCTCCAGTCCCCTAGACCCCAGCGAGCAAGTCTGTTCCAAACTCTATACAGTGTAAAGCACATCTCTACAGCCAACCCACACATCACCGGCCTTGGACAAGCTGACAGAGCCGGAAGCCCCTGAGGTGGTCACTGGGGGGGGGATGGTGGACAGTATCTCTGCACCCCCCCATTCGGGGTTCCCTAGTCCCAGCCTCGGCCACAAGAATCCCCAAAGTTCTGCTTGGTTTGAAAATGGCCTTTAAACCTCCAAGGACGACTGAGCTGAAAACTGCCCCTCTTCCTGCAGAGCCCCCCACTGGCCCAGCCCGTTTCTCCAAGTCTCCAAACGTCAGTGGTGGACAGGATGCAGAGCTGGGTGCCTGGAGGACCTGTGTCTGGTTTCCCTGATCCACGCTTTTGCTCCTCAGGACTCTGAGAGACCTGACCGGCTCCGTCAGGTCTAAGTCTCGCCACGCGGGGGCAGGGCCTGGCCAGACCAGGACCCAGCCTCGGCCAAGGCCATGGCCTTGGGGACGGCCTGCCTGGGCTTTTCTCACCAATTGGGTATGATCTGAGAGAGCGCCCTGGGGGTTTCAGCACCTCGGCGGTCTCCCTGGTTATCCCTAATCACTAGATTACCCCTCCCCAGGCAGGTTCCTAGCTATCGTCCTCCCCACTCTCCATGGCCCCAGGAACAGCAGGCCCTGAGCCCAGACTCCTGCCGGCCTTCCCCAGGCCCCTGCGAAGGTGCAGTCCCAGAGTCTGTAGGGGGTCCTGGCCCAGTTTGGCCAGGGCTCCAACCCTCTGAGCTGAGGGAGGGAGCGTGGAGAGGGCCTGGTGAACTGGGCACTCCCCACCTCCACAGGAAGGCTGGATCTTCCTAACCTTGGGTCCCGCGGGCTGCCTCCAGGGCAGAGGAAGCCATGCAGGGCAGGGGGTGGGGTGGGGAAGGGACGCTCTCTGCAGGGAGAGGACTTCACGGGAGCCTCTGCATTTCCCCCAGGCCTCACACTCAGCCTTACCGGGAGGATCCAGGCAGGTGGGGTCCTGGGGTGCCGAGGTGTGAGGGTGACCTTGTGTTTGTGTTTTCTCCAGACACCAACCCAATCCATTTTGGCCTGCAGGCTGGAGCCTGCCTTGGCTGAATTAAGCCAACAGCTCCAGAGCTAGGGTCTCCAGCCCTCCTCCCTCTCCCAGCGACCCCCACACCCCATACCCCGAGCATGAGGGGGTTCTGAGATCACTAGGGCCTGCAGCCATGCCCTAGTTTCCCGTGGGGACTCCCCTCCAAGTCCCTGAGAGCCTGGCAGCAAGGCCCAGGGACCCTCTCAGCCCAGGGGTTGTCCGCCCAGCCCAGGAGAAGACAGTCAGGCTGTGGGACTGGATGGGGCAGGGGCGACAAGGCCCTGGAAGGGCGGCAGGCGATGGGACTGAGCTGCCGAGGAACTCGGCGCCACCGCTAAGGGCAACACTCACCTAGGGCCGGAAACGCCAGAGGTGACGGTCAGCGGGAAAGAGAGCCCGGCAGAGAGCGCCTTCTCTGGCCCAGTCAGCGCCGGCGCAAGACTGGATGCCCCCTGAGCAGTGGGGGCTCCGTCGGGGTTCGAATCCCAGCAGGGAGGCAGCTGTGGACTGCGGAGATGCGAGCGCGGAAGGCCCAGAGCTCTGCCGCCCCTGGCTTTTGACCACCCTGGCTCCGTCAGGCTTTTTCCTCTGGAATAGCATTGGCCACGTGCCCTTCTCCATCAGGGTCCCTTTACTAGGACCCTGGGGTCTCGGGGTTAGCTCTTTGGCCATCGCCAGTTCACCTCTTTTCTGGCAATGGCCCGGGGCTCCGAATGTCAGTCCCAGCCGGAGGCGCTCCGGGTCTCATGCACAACAAAGGGAGGGGCACGGCCCGGAGCCCACCCGGGGTGGCAGAGGCCCCCACCGCTAGCACGACGCCTCCTGGGCTCGGGCTGACGCTGCGGCAGCTCCGAGTCCTGCAGCCTGGCAGAACCCTGCTACTGGAGAGGGCGCGGGGGTCAACGCCTCCATTTGCTTCCAATTCATTCTCGAATCCCAGACATAGCCGAATGGCAATTTCCACTGTCCCCACCAGGCCCCTGGGCCCGGACACCCTGCCGGCGCCCAGCCTGCCCCTCCGCGGCCGCACCTCCGAGTTTGAGGGCTGCGGGGCAGAAGCAGCACCCCGTCGGCTCCCGCCGGCGCTCTTCCACCTGCTCCGCCGGCTCTCTCGCCCGAGACGCACCTGGGCCGCGAGAGGCAAGGGGGAAGTGTCCCCAGAGGCCCCGATCGCCCGAGGTGGCCCAGCTCGGGCGCTCGCGCCCCTGGGTACTCACCTGGGGCCGCGGAGGCAGGAGAGC